ATGGTGGCAGTGCCTTTTGCTTCTTCTTGGGCTACACCCCTTTTGAGGACTCCAGACCAGTATCAACACTGATGGGAGTTGCCTGGTGATGTGTTTTTCTTTCCTATAGGGCTGCACTCAAACCCTTTGGGATCCCTTCAAGTTGCTTGCTTGAGGTGGTGCTCGCAGTTTTTCCTTTGGTCTTGTGCATAGGACCTGGGATCTGCAGTTTAACCTCATGCTTAGGAGGTTCTCGGTTTGTTACAGCACCGTGTCAGGGTGTGATGCATAAGCTGCAGTTTCTTATTTGAAAGGTGTGCCTATTTCCTTTCTATTTTTGATCTAACCAGCGATCGTGTTCGCGCGTAGTGTGGCGAGTGGTCGTTGGGATGTGATAAGATGCTGAGTGGCGTATGGCAAAACTCTTGCATGATCCATCTTGTCCACGAGTTCATAGGTCTTTTCGTATGACTCGACTGGTTGATTTGAGGCGTAAAATTAGAGCTAAAAAGTGGTACTTCAGATCCGGCTATACGAACTGTGGCTATGTAACCAGCCTGTGGCCTTCCCAATGGTTACGGCCAGTTTCGTGCCTCTCTGTGGGTAAGCCTTGAAGGTTCAGGGAATACTGCGCTGCGCTCGCCCTTTAGCCTTCCAAGGTCTTATATCCTTTTCCCAATGGTCAAGGGCGGTATAGGTTCTCCCATCCGAATGCCATAGTTCTATGCTAGTCGATGCATGTCTGACATAGCATGAATCCTCCTCACAGGTTCGGAGGAGTGTGGCCTTTGGCCTACGCCTAATGGTCACCCGTGGAGACCAGGTCATTGTGCTTTACTACGTTACGCACATGCCTATATACCTATATTACCCACTCCTTGCCAAGCTCTTCTCCGGGAGCGAGCCGGCACTAGGCAAGACCCGCCTGGGTCTTAATCACCCACAGCCGCGCACTCCTGGGCGACGTGCGAGGGGTGACCCAAGGGAGAAAATGAATAAGAAACAATTACAGGGTGGGTGGGGGGGAATCAAAAAATTGGATGTGTTCAGCAGGTTTGCAGTTTATTCTGACTTGCACTAGGTCTTCTGGCAGGACATCTGTGGTCAAGTGCCAGGATCCACTCTTTGGACCACAAATTGGGTCACTTGAGTGGTAGATTGCTTGAACAAAGATGCGCAATAGTGTCGCATTCCAAACGCGATGGGCGGCAGTTTTTCGATTCAACGTGTGCCTTGGTTGTATGTTTTTATCGCGTAAGACTTGGAATGAATGTTTTTCATGGTATCCCCATTTATCCCAATGTTGAACTATTCTTTGTGTCGTTCTTCGAATTTATACTCTATCCGCCCACAGTTAATAGTCAAAGGACTACCGTGTGCTTGGATGAGTTCTTCTCGACTTGCGCTGTTCGTTCCGCAGAATGTTCTTGAACAGAAGGTGTGCTGACTAGACACACTCTTTCGCATGCAAAGGTTTAAACTGGTAGCATTCCAGGCTAGCATGCAGGATGTATGACCCTTATCCTATATGGATTCTT